GGGGGGGGAGGAGGGAGGAGATGAGCGGCGTCCGTGGCGGCGATGGTCGCGCAGCGACGATCACACGTGACAAGTCACCTGATCATGTTCAAGCCAGCGCGTGCGATAGATCACACGTGACTAGTAACTTGATCGTGTCCACGCGACGAGTCAGCTGATTTGGCCCGAGATGACGCGAGAGCGTCTCGAACGTGTGTCAAGAACGGCGAACGGCGAGAGATCGCTGCGATGGCAACGTATACGATGTCGACGACGCTGACGGCGGAAAACGCGTCACGCGACTGACGGTGACGGCAGGTCTTGCCGCCCTCGCTGATTCATCCCCGACCTCTCCCCCGCTATCTACCAACGACCCCTTCGATTCATTTCGCCAACGCGCGCGGAGTCCAACGTTCGTTCGACCCCAACCGTGCCATAGATCCGAACTCTCTTTGCGTGCTCGACGTCGCTTTGTATAGTCGTCGGCGAGGCGCTAATTAATGGACCCCCCCGCAATGCTTTCCCCGTGTAATTGCGGAGATTTAGCGCATTGACCGAAAATTCATCTGTAGAGCGATTCATTTTCGAAATACCGCGATTGTTTCTACAGTTCTTCAATCCTTATAACTCGTATATATAACATAGGTATATGATACGATAAGGGACGATGGGGATATATATGATAAGAGATTTATGAACTATACAGTAATCTAATTACAATCTTCTAAAGTCCTATTTACATATAAAATGAATTTATATATGTGAAATATTTTCTATATAACATATAAATGTATCGTATAAATTAGTTACAAAATTATTTAAAAATAACAAAGGAAAAATAATTAACAAATAATTCATCTTTTACTTTACAAAGAAGCTAAAAAATAATCTTGTTTGCAAAAATAGTTTTGTTTATTCTCGTACAGCACATTCACGTTTCAGGGGTATTATAAATCTCAGGATATATCGACCAGCCGACGCTACTTTGAGCATTTCCATAACCATAAATACATTGTAGTCGGTTGCAGCGAGAGATCAAAGATTACAAAAAGTCGGTCGCGCGATACAGTATACAGTATATGTGTATTATACATAAAGCATGCGAATTGAATTTGTAACAAGTTGTGTGTGTGTGTGTATATGTATCGAAAAATGAATTTTCCAGGCTTCAAAGATCGACATTTCGCGACCTTTTTTGTTTTCTGTTATAAAATCGTCATCTTACTATCGATATTTTTTAAAAGACACGTCTTTCAAATTAAAGAATATGTGAGAAAATTTCGATTGTTTAGAGAATACTATACTTTTACTTCATTCTTTGTTGCAGAGTCCCTTAATCGTCACATAAGCGATGATGATGTAACTTCTCGAAAAACGACTAAAAAATATAGAATACAATTTCTTAATTAGCGACAATTTTTATGTAATAGATTCACAATGAATATAGTCACCGACAAGATATATAGTAAATGGCGATACAGTAAGGATGCATCAAACGATGATTTTACCGATAGTTTTTCGAAAAATGGTTTTCGCTACGTAATTTTACGTAGCCCCTAAAATTAATGTAGATGACAGTACTGCACAAGACTAGTGAACGTTCCACGATTACCGCTCTTTGTTTCTCCCTATTCATGGCAACCAGAACCAGTCATATGATCGTGCATCGTGCATGGTTGATTGCGTATCGCGAATCGCGAGGCGCTGCTCTCAGCTGCTCTTACCGCCTCACGGAAATCACATATTAGGTTAGGACAACGTTGTCAAGTATTGTCATGCCTCGAAGTTGACGTGGAGTTTACGCGCGAATCCGACCGCTCTCAACATACGGACATACGGAGACGGATGAGGAACGGCAGCAAGCAGACCATGTCATATCTACGCGATTGGCGACAGGCGTTGCGCGCACCACACGTCTACCGAGTGGCTAACAGCACCTTCCGCATTCAAAGCCAATTTTTGGCGCTGATTCTCCTCATCCTGAGCGTGCCAGTCTTTTTGTTGGCATATCCACTGCTGAGCAGCGTCGTGGGCTCGCCGCCAAACCAAATCCTGACCCAGTGTCGTTATTACAAGTATAATAGAACGTATCCCACCTCAACGCCCATCAGGACTTCCAAGGGTATGACTTACAGGATAGCGATTGTGAGCGACCTAGATCACGATTCCAAACTCGCAGACAAGAGAGACACGTGGCATAGTCTTATGAAGACTGGCAGTTTGTATTGGAATCCTACTACTAATTTTCTCTCTGTTATCTGGGATGATAGAACTGTCATATTATCCTCGTCGCTATCTATGAAAGGACGCGGAATGGAATTGTCGGAATTGGTGACGTTTGACGGTCGTCTATTGTCCTTTGATGATCGTACAGGAATGATATACTTTATTGAAGGTGATCAAGTTTATCCGTGGGTTATCTTGATGGATGGCAATGGTAAAAACATCAAAGGTATATAAGTTATGTAGCAAGTAATTAATATTATTGTCATTTCTGTAGCATGCAAGACATTTGTTTCATCTATTTTTAGGGTTTAAGTCCGAATGGGCAACCATCAAAGATGAACAATTATATGTTGGCAGTATGGGAAAAGAATGGACCACGCCATTCGGTGAATTTGAGCATAACAATCCATTATGGATAAAAGTAGTATCACCACGCGGCGAGACACATTCTGTCAATTGGATTTCCTACTACAAACGATTAAGGCAAGCGATTAACATCGAATATCCAGGTATGAGAATACTTGTAGTTTATGACTGCGTGAATTAATTCATTATATATATATTTTGCATAGGTTATATGATACATGAATCTGGAGCTTGGAGCGATATACATAAGAGCTGGTTCTTCTTGCCCAGAAGATGTTCCCATGAACGTTACAATGAGTCAAGAGATGAGACAATGAGCTGTAATATCATGCTGACCGCAGATGAAAACTTTATTGATATTAAAGTGCGTTTTTAATAATTGATTACATCAGATGTATTTTGATATCTTGATAGATTGTAGCAACAGTTTTGAAATTTATTGTAGGTCATTCATGTTGGAGATCTAATTCCAATCAGAGGTTTCTCCAGTTTCAAGTTCCTTCCTGGTTCACAGGACTCTATTATAGTAGCATTGAAGACTGAGGAGTATCAAGGTCATACTGCTACATACATCATGGCCTTCACAATAGAAGGAACAATAATAATGCCGGAGAGCAAAGTGATGGACAAAAAATTCGAAGGACTAGAATTTATATGACATTCCATTTAGGAATAGTCATTAATTGTTTAATAAAATTGTAAATAGATGTACAGAGAATGTGCAACTTTAAATTTGTATCATACAACTAGAATTGCAGCAAATTTAATCAGTATAAATAAAAACTAAGATCATTTCTTTGAATGATCAATATTGCTACATTCAAAACGCCAGGGTACAAATTTTATTCTCATTAACATAGATCAAAAATAGCAATTATATAAGAATATGTACACTGGAGTGATAATTGTAAATATGCATGTATATACTAATCAATGTACTTTAAATCAGTACTTTTATTTCGTTTTATACGTAAGTTTGCGATTATGTTAAAAAACACGTTATAAAAATATACGATATATATTTCATTTTGTGTGTATATTATATATTATTCTTAATTGTTGTGCTAAACTATAATACTTTTCTTATTATAAAAAAATATCGGATAAATCAAGCAAACGTTTCCAAATGTCTGAAGCAGTATAGAAGAATCCTATAAAAGGATACTAATTTTCTACACATTCCTTTACACATTTGTCTTCATGTTTTTTTAACTTTATGTAATCGTATGTCAAATTTCCTTCCTTTTGTGTTTTCTCGTTTCGCGCGCGTTCAGGGTCACAATACTATGCGAAAATCAATAATACATATATATATCTAGACAGAAGGTGGTGGCAGCAGCACTGCGTTTCTTCGAGGGTTTAGTCAACCCGATGCATTGCGGAGATACAGTTCGTGGCTCAAGCGTGTTGCATGTACTACCGTTCGCGCGAAGTTGTACAACACTTGCTCGCAATCTCTTTTTCGAGGAGTATATTATACAATATCCGGTAACTATCGAATTGTCATGAGAAACGAAAGCGGTTAAAATTTTACATCCCATTTAAAGGGTGGTTCTTTCTGCAATCTGTATTTACACTTTTGCATTTAGGTGAGAGTGAAAATTGTTTTTGCTCCGAAAATCTCAAGGAATAAGAATACTCAACAAAGGATTTCAGCTATTCATTGCATCGTATGTGTTATAAAAAAGAAAGATTGATAAAGGAGGTAAAAATGCATTAATAGAGATTGCGAAGGATTATATACGATGACAGAAAGTTACATAACAAATGCACAAGTGGATTGAATTCTTTAATCACATCAAGCATGAATTTATCTGTATGAATATTTTGTTACATAAAATGAATATAATTTTGTCTTCTATTCACTTAATTTAATGCTTCAGATCAAACAAAACAAAACAAAACCAAAAAAAAAAAACTTGCTATTTTATACAACATTAATATTTAATGTTACTAGGAAGGAATATTGCAATCCTTAAATATGAAAAACGCATTAAAAACAGTTTTTCCTACTCTACAATCTCTGCAAGAAGAAAATGCAGCATCCGTAAGAATGCTTCGTATCATTTCTAATACTGACGATAGCGCGATCGCAAGGCGATTGACACTCTCGTGACGTAAATGATTATATTCCATGAACTATATTTTTCCGTAACTATCGAATTTGTTTCTCGGAACAAACAAGTTTGGAATAAATCAACGATTATTTAGCGTGCTCGCGAAAAAAAATAAGTGATCTTGAGTCAAATTTCGACTGACAAGTCCCGCATAGTGGAAAGATGCTGTCTACTTGACGAACACGTGGTCGACAAGTTCGCAAAAGATTTTTATTCGTCTAAATATCATCCTAAAATCATTTTGAACATAATGGCAACGGGGAAAGACTCGATGAAGGATTGGAACGTCGCTAGAACCGGTATCTCCCTGCTGTTGAACAACAAAATCGAGGAGGCTGAGGCTCTGTTTACCGAACATCCTCATAGCTTCCATGTCAAAGCCGGCCGCTGCTTTGTCCTCTTCATGGTATGTAATCGCGTGATGAGGCATATCGATTCCACAATACGCTCCGACGACGTATACTTGACAACTCAAGGCCGGGAAAGAATGTTGTTACCTAATCGATTCTATTAATAAACGCAAAAACATATGGATCGGGAAATAAAAGATCAATACTAATTTTTAATATGCAGATTAAATAAAGATTATCTCAATTCTCCGTTACGATATAATGAAACAACGGGAAGAAACAAATAGGCTTGGAGATACAATATAAGAGATACAATATGTGGGCTTGAATATTTTAATGTCTGATAATTTTTAATGTAATTTAATGAATCTTGCAGAATGCCCTGATGACTTTCGAAGATGATAAGCTTCAACAAGCCATGTTATTACTTAAGGATATGGAACGGGAATGTGCGGGCGATATTGGGTGGCTAAAGTCCGTGAAAAGTAAAGTGTTTCGAGCAGAAGAGACCGGCGTAAATGTTTATTCAACGGGATATTAATATAGTTTCATTTATAATTAGTTTGAATTTTCATAGAAACACAGAGACTCATTATATTTAATTGTGCTAATAAAAATAAAAATTAATATAAAAAAAGAGATATTTTTTATAACATATATCAAGACTATTGAAAAACAAGATTCAATCATAAAGAAATAATTACAAAACTAATTTCAGAAGGATTATGTAAATAAGTTGGAGCGCCAAATCATTCTAGCAGATTCGCAAGTTTGTTCGGCCATATTAACGCTTCTTCAACAAGAATTAACCGGATATGTACGCGGTGGTTGGATGCTTCGTAAAGCTTGGCGAGTTTATCAGCATGCGTATAATCAGATTTCGCAGCTATATCGGCGCACCTTCGGTACAAATCCGACGGGTGCGTCATCATTTATGATTCGTAATACGAGGAAAGATTTAGAAAATTAGAATTTTAAATTTTCAATCGTAAGAGTTTAGCAGAAGTATTTTGCGATTAATCTTAATAAAATTTTAATCTATTACTTGTTATTAAGCGCAGTATTATTGCGAATAAATAAATTAATCATAATTCAAAGTTTGCAATACGTACAATTTTAATAATTAAGATCCGATTAATTTAATCGTAATTGCTCAATAAATTTTCTTCTTGTATCGATTTTTTTTTTTTTCTTTGTTATATGTATTTGACAACTTAATTGTGCTTTTTATAAGGAATATACATTATAAAACACAAATTTTGTCAGACACTTTTGATAATTTCGCTACTTTTCGTAGGACTCAGTCCGTACTGCGGCATTCCCACAAGCAACGGATCCTCTTTCCAGAGTCCGCAAAGCCCAGAATCCTCGGAATGGTCGATACCCTCCTGCAACGGTTACGTGAACAACGTGACACCCGTATCGTCGCCATCAGGTCTGCGAAGCTCTCTATCAATGTTCTTCTCGCTCACTGGCATCACGTCCGAACAACAGACACCGTAATTGTTGTTTCTTCTTACAAAACTTCTCGTTTCTTTTTGCCCTTTGTCCACTATCCTCTCCGAGAGAAAGATTCCGCCGTCGATTGCGTATCGGCATCTTATATTCCGCGTGTAATCCGTTTACTCGATATCAACAATCCGTATAAACTCGCGCCGGTAAACTCACACACTTGCTTCGCACACATGCTTCGCAAAAGATTGTGCAACTAGCTTGGATCACCTTGCTTCGTTCCTTTGTTCGCACGTTTAAATTCACGCGAATCTCAGCATTAAAAATGTAATTGAAGTGGAATATATTTCGCAGCTTCGTGGAACCTACGGAAGTGACACGTTTAATGTCGGCCGCGAGTTTCGGTTACGGTATATACCAGCTATGCGTGAGTCTTTTGCCGCCCTCCCTGCTGAAGGTGATCCATTTCTTGGGCTTCGAGGGTGATAGACAGGCTGGTCTTGCCGCCCTTATGTACGCACGAGTCAGCGAGGATATGCGCGCACCGCTCGCTACGTAAGTTTATCGTGAATATAAAATATCTCTAAATATATAATTTTTTTGCATAGCAATGTAAAAGAATTGGAAACTTGTAAAAGATATTTTTTACGAGCATAATATTTATCGCTGCTGTTTTCTCATGCCAAATCTTTATTTTTTATTTGATTGATTGTATAATATATTACACATAAATAAATGTTTCCATTGTTGTGTTTATATATTATATTTTGAAAAATATTTTATATACTATATACAATATGTGGCTAATCGATCGATCGACAATATATTGCAATTTTAATTTATTGTTAGATTATCTCTTCTTTGGTATCACACAATCGTACGTCCGTTTTTCGCACTTGACGGTTCCAATGTGAAAGCGGGCGTCGCGGTAGCAAAACAGCTGATAGCTGAATGCCATTCCGAATTTCATAGCTCTGCACTCTTTCTTTTCTTCGCTGGTAGAGTGGAACGTCTAGAGGTACTAATAAATTAACCAATTAATTATTAAGCATACAGATACAGAGTCTTAAGATTTCTTATTTATTAGATATAAAAAAGTAATGTTTTTTTACTCTAATGATGTGTTGTCTCGTAGTCAAATGTCAATGCAGCGCTCGAAGCGTACGGCAAAGCTGTGGAGACTTCGACCCAACGTGAAATCAAATTATTATGTTTGCACGAAGTGGCTTGGTGTCATCTGATATGTTTGAGCTACGAGGAAGCGTATCGATCCTTATTGCAATTGCAACATCAGTCTAGATGGTCCAAGAGCTTCTACGCGTACCTAGCTATGGGTAATTTCAACGCCATTCTAGCGTTCAAATAAGCTCGAATTTCTTTATTATATTATCTTTGCAGTCTGTTGTGGAGCAAACGGCAAATTTGACGATCTGCTAATAACTTACGACAAAATACTTCACTGGTTCCACGAGATGAACAAGGAGACGCAACTCGGCGCTTTCATTTTACGCAGAGTGCCGAAACTCATTGACAAGGACACCGGGCGTCCTTATACACTTCTGTATTATAGATTGCTGGTATATGAATTATTGTACTTATGGAATGCCATGCCGTCCTGTTCCACTGAATCGCTGCGTAGAATATTATGGGGTAATAATCGATTGATTTTCGGTCAAATAACTTAAATTCGGTCAAGTAACTTAATTTCAAGTAACATAAAAATAAAAAAAAACCGCTAAATAATTGAAATGTTATTTGAATATTTTTTAATTTGATGTATTTTTAATCATTTGTACTACAAAATTTCTTTACATCTCACCGATATTATCTAACTCTATTATCAGAATGTAAGAAAAACCATTCAGAGGAACCGATGGTGGGTCTGGCTGCTCTTTTGGAAGGTGCAGCGTCTTTCTATTTGGGAGATACTGAAGCGGCTATTAAAAGTTATCGATACTGTTTGAAACGTAGATATCCGTCCAAGGACGAGTACGATCAGCATGTTAGTGCATTTGCTCTTTACGAACTGGGAAGTAATCTTTGCAACAATAACGTAAGTATGCTGAATATATACATTTGCTATCTGTGTCGAATTTTTTTTTTACATAATTGTAAATTTGTCTGTTTTTGTTATTTTTACAGTAACTTTTATATTTGTCATATTTCAGAATCCCAACGAAGGCAAAAGTTTTCTATTGAAGGCACAAACTCAGTATAGAGATTACGACTTTGAAAGTCGACTTAATGTGCGTATACATTCCGCCCTGAAAAATATACAATAACCTCAGTTTGTAATCGTCCGATATTACATTATAATATAAAATAATTTTAACAACAAGCAACACATTTATGTTCCATGGATCCGTCAATAACATTTTATGTGCGTTTCATTTGATCCAAAAAAAAATATTTCAGTTAATAATAAAGATCGATACAAAGATAAGATTAACAATGCAAACAGTCTATATTTGTACCCAGAGATATAATTTTATGGTTGTTTTATTTTTATTTTCATTTTATTAATATTATGCTGTATATATATATTACACGTATTAAAGAATATTATATATAAACAGAATTCCCATATTAAAATTTTAAAGATGAAAGAAATTTAAAAGCACACACACACAAATGGACATCGTGTCTTGAAATTTATGATTTATAAAGGCGACAGATTTTATTTACAAAAATATATATGCTAAGCTTTTCGATAGGCAATTGATTCATACAAGATGAATGTTTCTTTCGTCTAGAAAAATATGTATAGACAAAGGAACTGGATCGCATCTCTTGTTGTTGCACGATCGTTTGTATAAGCTATTTACTCGTAATCATGTACATACATTTAATAATGTCTGCATATTCATCCTGTATATATATCCTGTATATCCGCAAGTAACAGAAGAATAGTGTACGACAATATATTTGAACATTACATCAAAATGGAATGGAATTTTTCTCTTCCATCTAAAATTATTATTTTGTAATTCTTTAATAAACATTTATGCGCCCTTAATACCGCGCTTGGCTCTTTTTGCCGTTTTATTCGACATTCTTGATTTTATTATTTTGTCACTAGCACTTTATATTCTGCATTTTTGCTCTTTATATGTATTTTTTTCTTTTCTTTATTTTTTTTCCACGTTATATATAGTAATCTATTTTGAGAATTGCCTTTCATTTTTTTACAATATATCGATTATGTAGTAGTCGTCATATTGGTTCAAACTTTGACATATACTTTTAGCGAAACACGTGCGATCACATCGCTCATAAAAAGTATCGGCAAAATCTGGATAAATTAATCTTTATCGATTCTTTTTGACATTTCTTCTTGTTTATATTTTGAAAGCGCTTTAGACACAAGTGCATAATGAAAGGACGCTAATGAGTGCGCGAAATACCTTCTGTTGCGTTAACGCAGGAAATTGTCCGGGTATTTCGGCTAGCTGCAATCAACGATCCGCATGGTACACGAAACTAATCAAACCCTTCGTTTTCTGCGTTATCACGTCGATGCTCGGTATGTTAGAGATTGATCCAATTACTTAACTTGCTAAAAAAGTATCAGTAATCTTTACTTTTATGCATAATCTTCTCTATACATAATGAATGTTATTAAATTTTAATTAAAAAAGCGAATTTTGAAAGAGCTTCTCTCAATTTTTAGCAATGTCCGTATCCCATCTTTGCGATAAATATTCCGCTAGTGCGTCATTCAAGACAATCAAGGCAGACTTAAGAAACCTGAGAGCTCATTTGGGAACTCTCTCGGTAATTGTTTGCTAATAAAAACGATTTTATGTGCAAACGATTTTTTCTTAGCATAACTTTTTTTTTTACTTTGATTATTATACGATATAATAAATGCTCTGCTGATTCTGTAAAAATTGCATTAGCTGGAAGTGAAAAATGTAATGGAGATGCGCGACGAATTGAAAAGCAAATTGAAGGAAGTGGGCAACGTGATTCCGAAAATGTCAGAAGCTATTCTTAATCTGAGGAACGAAGTGTCCGAGGGTAAGAAAGGTGCGATGTGTAAATGTTGACCGGATATTGCGCCCGGTGCAGTGGCATTTCTTTGACGTCAAAGATATCGATTAAATAAGTAGAGCGACATATTGCACAGCTTATTTCCATGCCGACAGATTTTAGTTTATGACAAAGTAAAAGTCTTTTTCTATCATTCACGCGCATATGACTATTTGGGTTATATTTTTATTTTTATCTTTCCATTCGACAAAATTATATTACTTATACCATCTGTCTTTTGTCAGTTATTAACGTTTATCGCTAGTACATATTGCGACAGAAATGAATCTGCATACGAAGAACTTGCTGAAAGCTCTATCACCGGAAACCGTCAAGGATATGGTAAGAAACGAATTAAAGACGTACGATGCCGATAAAACTGGAAGAACGGATTATGCTCTTGAAAGTTCAGGTTTTATTCAACACTCTATTTTTATTTAGCTTTTTCTATAGCTAATGCATTAATTAAAAGGGCGATCTTATGACCTGTTAATAATCTTGCGCGTAAAAAGTGAATAAAAAGTGGCCTTTAAACTTCTTTTTTTTTCAGCTCTTTAGCGTAGAAAAATAACATACTTTTTTACAATAACAATCAATTTCTTTTTAAACATATGACTTTTCTTAGAGTGGCGCGCTATTATTTAATTCCAAATATATTACAAAGAAAATTATATGTGCAATAAGCATTTCTGCAATTAATAATTATAAAATTATTACTTTGTTTAAAAACTAATATTGTATTAATGAAAAACTGGCAAACATATCGCACGCATTTTTACATAGGTGGTACGATCCTTTCGACACGAAACACCGAACCCTATTCGACCGGCGCACCTGTGCTCAATCTGTTCGGCATACCGCTTTGTCAGCAGCAAAACACACCCCGAGCCGTGATACAGGTTACCTGAATATATCTAATTTCATTATCGTTCTGACCCGAAAGTATTCACCAGACCGGCGTTTTGCCGGGCGAATGCTGGGCCTTCAAGGGTAGCCGCGGCAGCGTGGTGATCCGACTACTCGGCCAGGTGCACGTGTCCGGAATCAGCCTCGAACATATTTCCTCGTTGATATCCCCAACTGGGGAAACCGCCACAGCTCCTAGAGATTTTTCTATTTGGGTAAACCGATTTTACAGCAATATCACACATATAGTCCGTGTATACTTTAATATAACTATATTATATTATAACGTACCACATACTTGTATATTGCAATATACATATATTCTGTTTATGTATATATTCATTACTGTGAACAGCTGTATATTAATTATTATGCGTACATGTCCTTTTAGGGTTTGACAGATCTTGAGGATGAGAAGCCTTTCTCATTTGGCACATTTACGTATGACAATACTGATTCACCGTTGCAATACTTTGAGATCCAGGTAGAATATTGGATACTACTACTTTTAATTAACATTTGTCATAAAAGATTTTAATACTGGCGGTTTTTCATTTTTAATTATATAAAATTAAAATTATAGAATCGATCGAAAGAAGCATACGAGATAATCGAGTTGAAAGTCCATTCCAACAGTGGTAATCCAGAGTACACGTGTATTTATAGAATACGAGTGCATGGTACGCTTAATCGAATATGAGTATGAATCCGAAAAAACACAACAGGTATTCGAAAATTAAAATGTTTCAAAATTATGGCAAACCCATAAAATATAATTTAACGAAAAATATATTTTAAAGATGAATCGGACGGATCAACTACGGCAAAAGTTAATAAATCTAATACATTTTAAGATTCATGAATTTGACATTGCGCGCATACAAAGCACTTTTAGTCTTCTAAAATAAAAAATTAATATTTAATTTGTAAGTTAAAGTAAAGATTTGTTCTGTAGAATTAAAATTTTTATTTTCAGGAATTTTTGTATACAGTTAATATAAAATTTTCGTGGTACAGTTACTATAAAAAAATTAATTCGACATAAAATCATATTTATGATTTTGAAATTAAATTCTACAAGGCTAAATCTTTATTTTAACTCACAAATTAATTATTTATTTTATATTTTAAAAGGTTAAAAGTGCTTTGTGTATGCGCAACGTCAAATTCATGAATCTCGAAATGTATTAGATTTATTAACTTTTGGCGTAGCTGATCTGTTCAGTTCCTCCTTATGCAAAATATAATTTACAACGGATTTTTTATCAAAGTAATTTATACAAGATTTCTGTGGAATGAATATAGATGTACTATACGATGCCGTTTGATATCAAAGAATCCGATATAGCGATAATGTAATATTGATCAAGCGCTGGATGTAAATCAGGACTTATGGGTGATTGTTCAATAAAAAGAACGGATCATCTCAACGTAATCGTCGCTCGATTTATTACATTTGTACATATTTAGTTCTCCTCTGACTCCGTTATTTCGAATCTCTCCTCACACGTTCTCCGTCACACACACGTATCCCATATTCTGTCATACCCTCCCGGCTTCGCGTGACGAAGCAAAACGTGAAAATTTCACATTTCACCAACCATGTCGGGCGCATACACGCAGAACATCAGGCAGACAAGAAGGACGCTCTCCCGGCGGCGCTATGTGGACACCGACCGTTATTACATCATTATACCGTAATTAAAATAGTATGTTATATATCTGGAACCGGCGACGGTCCGGTGTTTTTGGTTTTTGCTTCTTTATTCTGTTTAGTTATAGCTTAGTTTCTCTTCCCTTCTAATTCAACGATTACGCGCACTGCCTTCTTAGCTACGGGCGAAGAACAGACTCGAGAGGCACACACGCTGCGAGTTTCGATATACGATATTTCTCTCAATTAACGCGTGCACACGTATGTAGGATTGTATGACTAATGATTTTTACTTTTCTCCGTTGTTTTTTTTTTTTTTTTTTTTTTTTTTTTTTTTTTTTTAACCCGGGGGTTTTTTTTTTTTTTTTTTTTTTTTGGTTTGTTTTTTTGAACCGATGAGTTTCTGTCTTTTTGCGACTTTTTTTTTTTTTACAGCATATGATTGCCGGACGATCAATACGTGTGCAGCTGTAATCGGCGAATTCGCGCGATCGGCGCGTGTCTAGAATAACTATAATTCGGAGATCAGTCGTCTAACGCTATCGAGCTATCGAGAGCTGGTCGTGGTGCCAAAGAGATGCGCGTACATGTACGTAAACACACACGAATACGTAATTATCTCTCTACATACTTCCCTGAAAAACGTCTAACATGATCCGACGTAGCAATTTCGAGCGGCTCGTTGCTTTTCTTTAAACTTGCTACTAGCACTTGCTGCGTCATCTCCAGCCGAGGTTTATCACTAGAACGACCAAGACAATTATTTAAATCTCTCTCTAAATACTTTTCTTAATAAAAAGATATAAAGTATTTATAATTTTATTTGTAAAATTTTCAATTTTCTCAATTTTCTTATTCTTCTGTCATATAATAGTAAAATAGTATTTCATATAAAGTTCTCTATGAATTATATGTTTTAATATTTAATTAAATAACGATATTTGAATACGTTGATGTGTGAAAACCACCACCTCTAGAAATAATTAACTATAGAAATATAGTGTTATTCGCAAAATATAGACAATATAAACAATAATGGAGGAGATATAATGGAGCTAATTTATTACTTACGTACAGTATAATTTTTCTCCGCATTATATTCATTGTAAGAAATAATTCTTCTAATTAGAAAAATTCTCAGCCGTTCTAGTGTTAAGCGCAACTCTCCGTGAAATCATCACGCGTTAATGTAACGTTCTTTCAACGTATGAAAAAATTGCACTTAAACTCGACGCATCGCTCGACTCAAGATTTTGTTAGGCTTTAACGAAACACAATATCACGATCAAACGATCGATCGGTCAACAATTACTACTTGATTTTTTTTTTCTTCGAAACAACGCGACGCGCCGGGCGCGCGTTAACGTGTGATTTTAACGACTATACCTCCGACGAAGGGTGCAGGACTCGTCGGTCACCATTTCGCAGCTGAGAAAACGCGGGCACCACCACCGCACGAAGGTTCGTCAACGTTCGTAAAAGGCATAGAGTTGTTTACTTTTACTTTTTTTTTCTTGTTAGATTTTTACTTCGACAATTGTTAAATATATTACCGCACGCGGTAGTATCAAAATAAACCACACCAAGTGTAGAGTATAGAATATTCGTAGATGTATATGTATGTACAGTATAGAGTTTCTATTTATCTCTGCTTTGTCTCTCTATAGTTTAATTCCCCGCGAAAGCCACACAGCATTGATTTTCGTTTTATTAAAAAGTTAGCTACGTTCCTAAATTTTTGCTGTCACTGTTGTTGTTGTTGTTGTTGTTGTTGTTGTTGTTGTTGTTGTTGTTGTTGTTGTTGTTGTTGTTGTTGTTGTTGTTGTTGTTGTTGTTGTTGTTGTTGTTGTTGTTGTTGTTGTTGTTGTTGTTGTTGTTGTTGTTGTTGTTGTTGTTGTTGTTGTTGTTGTTGTTGTTGTTGTTGTTGTTGTTGTTGTTGTTGTTGTTGTTGTTGTTGTTGTTGTTGTTGTTGTTGTTGTTGTTGTTGTTGTTGTTGTTGTTGTTGTTGTTGTTGTTGTTGTTGTTGTTGTTGTTGTTGTTGTTGTTGTTGTTGTTGTTGTTGTTGTTATTACTGCTGTTGTTGCTGCTGATGTTACGGTTTCGTACTGATATTTGCCGTTACCATTAGGAAATACACTACGATTAAAGTATATCACAGATGTCAACGAGAAGAATGCTCTAGTCGAAAAGAGTAAATTCAACGAAATAAAGATAAATCGCGAGTTTCGAACGCCGATTATCAATAATTCCCACAATTGATCGATCAAACTTCTAAAATTCTAGCCAAAAGAAATTATTTCATAAAGATCAAACGGTCTATATATTATATATGGAGAAATAAAGCTAGATTTACATAAATTTTATTATTCTCGTCAAAATCTCTGATTATGATGGTCATGCAAAATTTAATTAATTAATCATATTAACCATTCAAATGACAAAGATATAATTTATATCGATCAATTGTAGATATCTTTGATTTCCAATTGCCTATCCGCGCGAGAATTCGAGAAGAGTTAGAGAATAAGGAAAGGCGAGACAGTGTGGTCCAATTAATTGCAGTTTTGTCGTAGACACGACAAAAAGATCTCTTCTAGCTATAAACTACTAAAATTCTTTCTCTAATTTTTATCGACGCGATCTACGTCGTTCTTCTTCCTACAAATCCTACAGATCGATTTCCACGACACTTCAAAAACGGAACACGAGATCAGTTCCGTTGGCAATAAGAGATTGTCATAAGTTTTCAAGTTGCGCGTTATATGCGCTTTACATGTGTTACATTTAGCGTACCCGTTTTCTGCGCTACGCGCGCGCGCGCGTCGATAAATTCCCCTGATTACAACATCATCTCTCATTCGCGCAATCGTATCTTATTTACACGATTCGCGGGGTATGTTTCGTTCTCATACTTTCTCCAGCTGTCCTAGGACACAATTTATCTAAATACTCGACTGGTTCGTTTTTTTATTTTTTGGCAAGTTCGCGGCGGCGAAGTGACTAGAATATTACGACTATATTGTCATGCACTACAGTCTTTCTTAGAGCCCTTTCTCAAATCCTTCCCACGCGATCTCTCTCTACCATGGTATTTTCCGCTCCATGTTGTATCGTCTGCGAAATCTCCCGCGCCGCCACAGTACATACATCTAGAGACTACTTCGACTCGTTCGCTCTGCATTAAGAAGGATCCAACGGTCCACCGGCGGAGGACGGTTTCTCGGATGTCTCCTTGTTATCGTCGGTGCGGTCATCGCCACCACCGTCTCTCATCGTCGTAGCGGAGGAGACGCTGGTCGAGGCATCCAGGGTCTCGTCGTCGCGCGTCAATCTGCCGCCGCGCCGCTGCCCGTTGCTGCTGCTCGCCGAGTCCGTGTCGTCCACGTAAATCCTAACGTCGGATCCGATAGCGCCACCCTCGCCGATGTGCACTCCACCGCTGCCGCTGCCGCTACCCCCATTTCGACTGCCGCTGCCGCTACCCCCATTTCGACTGCCGCTGCCGCTACCCCCATTTCGACTGCCGCTGCCGCTACCCCCATTTCGACTGCCGCTGCCGCTACCCCCATTTCGACTGCCGCTGCCGCTACCCCCATTTCGACTGCCGCTGCCGCTACCCCCATTTCGACTGCCGCTGCCGCTACCCCCATTTCGACTGCCGCTGCCGCTACCCCCATTTCGACTGCCGCTGCCGCTACCCCCATTTCGACTGCCGCTGCCGCTACCCCCATTTCGACTGCCGCTGCCGCTACCCCCATTTCGACTGCCGCTGCCGCTACCCCCATTTCGACTGCCGCTGCCGCTACCCCCATTTCGACTGCCGCTGCCGCTACCCCCATTTCGACTGCCGCTGCCGCTACCCCCATTTCGACTGCCGCTGCCGCTACCCCCATTTCGACTGCCGCTGCCGCTACCCCCATTTCGACTGCCGCTGCCGCTACCCCCATTTCGACTGCCGCTGCCGCTACCCCCATTTCGACTGCCGCTGCCGCTACCCCCATTTCGACTGCCGCTGCCGCTACCCCCATTTCGACTGCCGCTGCCGCTACCCCCATTTCGACTGCCGCTGCCGCTACCCCCATTTCGACTGCCGCTGCCGCTACCCCCATTTCGACTGCCGCTGCCGCTACCCCCATTTCGACTGCCGCTGCCGCTACCCCCATTTCGACTGCCGCTGCCGCTACCCCCATTTCGACTGCCGCTGCCGCTACCCCCATTTCGACTGCCGCTGCCGCTACCCCCATTTCGACTGCCGCTGCCGCTACCCCCATTTCGACTGCCGCTGCCGCTACCCCCATTTCGACTGCCGCTGCCGCTACCCCCATTTCGACTGCCGCTGCCGCTACCCCCATTTCGACTGCCGTTGCCGCTACCGCTACTGATGCTGCCGGCGACGCTGATGCTGGCGACGGCACTGAGGCTGCCGGTGCCGGTGCTCTCGCTCACGTTGCCGCACGGCGACGGGACCTCGTCGGATCTATCCTCGGTGGTAACGTAGATGTGGCTGTAACCCTCACCGCGGATAATCGCGCTATACTGATCGCTGGCGATGCTTGCGGTGGCGGACGCGGCGGTGACGTCGTGCGTTGTCTTCAACTTGGACGGCCTCCTCTCGTTGATGACGGATTGCACATCGAGGA